TTGGTGTGATCGATTTCTGACGGCGAAAATCACTCGTGAGTTCTTGTGCCCCCTGCCGCGTCCGATGGAGAGGTGTAGAGTGTAGGCGTGATGTAATATCGCCAGGCTCGGAAGCGGTCAAATGGCTCAGACAGATCGTTCATTGGTGTATTTGAGTATTTGGTCCAGCCGTGAATATGCGAGAATATCAAGGCTCGCTGCTTTAGTTGAGTACATAGAACAGTCTGCCCTGAAATATAACATCATTCCGACTGGAGCACCAAGTTGATCGGTTATCATTCCTACAGTTAAACGTTTCCCCAGCTACACATTTCCTAACAGAAACTTATCACACACTAGTTACTTCTTTTTGCAACAACAATCTCGAGATGCAGTCACGAAACAATCTCAACGTTTATAAGGGCCCTGACTCTGTTAAGGACTATTTCAATCCTGACAGGGCACCACCACTGCCTCTTGTGGAGCTTCCCAACTCCCTCAATCCTTACCGAAAAGATGGCGTCCGCATCTACGCCAAAATGATGACTATGCACCCAGCAAACAATGTCAAATCTATGCCAGGTATTCAAGTCGAGAAGAGCTTCTTACAAAAGACAAAATCAGAGGTGCTGATCTATGATTCGACGAAGCTCTCAATCTCCTGGAGCATGGAATTGCGCCCGATAAGACCAAGACGGTAGTTGAGTACAGCTCTGGGTCAACAGTCATTTCCATGGCTTTGATGTCTCGCGTTCTTTACGACTTGGGAGATGTTCACGCTTTCCTAAGCAATAAGACGACAGCAGCGAAGTTGAAATTGATGCAATTCTTTGGTCTTAATATGTAAGTTGAGCTGATTTGGCTAAGTGACATTCTTTTCTATGCACCATGATGATGCTCAATATGGCTCTGTCACAGTACTTTATTCGGCGGTCCGTCGCAACCCGAACCGAACGACGAGCGTGGCGGCATTCGAGCTGCGTACCGCTGGGCCCAGGAATCTGAATCCGTGCTCAACCCGGACCAGTATAACAACGATCTGGTGAGATTTCTGCCTAAAGTCACGGATTTTTTACAGTTGCTCATCAAGCCTTCTAGAACTGGCAATCTCACATGCGATGGACAGGTCCGCAAATTCTGGAACAACTCCCAGAAATAAGCCTCATTTGCGCAGGAATGGGAACTTCTGGTACACTCAATCTTCAAAAGCTTTGAGTTTCCTCCAACGTCACAAGACTAAGACTATGGTATCCAGGCACAATGTCAGGCTTAGGGAGCTTCTTCAAGGAGAAGAACCCATCTGTGTTCCGTTTGGGGTAAGGAATCCAATGCGCCCGCTTCATAGTGCCTTCTAACAAAATTCACAGCGTGTGCACTGCCGCAGGCGACAGAGTTCCAGGACCACGGTCCCTGGCTCTCCTAGCTCCGGTCAACTTTCCCTGGAAGTCAGCTGTGGATCATATCGAGGAGGTTGCATCTCACCCCTCATACTCGCTTTCATTGGAACTTTGCCGGAACGGCATTGTTTGCGGCCCCTCCTCCGGATTTAATCTCCAAGGACTTTATCAGTTCATTGAGAAAAGAAAGAAGGAAGGGACCTTGAGTCAGCTTGCAGGGGAAGACGGCCAGATTCACTGCGTCACTTTGTGTTGCGACCTCCCGTACCAATACATGGATGAGTATTTTGCCAAGCTGGAAGCTGAGCAGTTCCCTCCGATCAGAAACTCGGTATGCATATGTTCTTCATCATACCCGCGGTATGCTACATCCTGCTAATCCAGCAACGCCTAGGAATTGAGTGATGTTGACTTGTACCGCTATGACTCGGCCTGGGAAAAGGATCCACTAATGGCCCTCAACGACTTTTACCGTCTGGACAAGGTTCTCACCAGAGATCTCCTTTTCTTCTTGTCCAAGAGACGTTCTGATGAGCGGCAAGGCTGGGAAAGAATCATAGCTCCGTCGCCAGACACTATCGTGGTTGACTTGCGCCAACCCGAGGACTTCGACCAGTTCAGTCTCCCCGGATCTGTAAACTTCCCTCTTATTCAGTCAGGCACTCCGAGCCCCTTCACAGATCCAAAAGTGTTGGCATCGCTTTGGCGAGAGCTTGAGGCTAAGCTTAGCTCTGAGAACGAAGACATCTGCTCTCAGCTTCGGGACAAGCTTTCGCTCATCATTTGCTATGATGGGGACTCCGCCCGCGTTGCCACCAGTGTTCTCCGCGCGAAAGGATACGCTGCAGACAGTATGAACGGCGGGATTCGGGCCATGCGGAAGGTGGGCTTGCAGTTGGAGGATCCCTGCGGGAAGCCCAACTTTCCAGCTCGCCATGGGCAGTCTGTGGGATCTGTTTCCCACTAGGTACATGTACTCAAGAGGATAGATTGGAGGCTGCATGCAACACCAGTAGTATATCGTTAGATTGTTTTAGTGAACACCTGTACCAGGTTTCTGTGCCGTTTCCTTGCCTGCATTTGCTATGGGTGCCTCTCACTTGAGAGACGGTACATCCTTGGTCACCAAGTATGGAGATGTACGCGTACATGTCCAGATCCGACTTCCCCTCCATTCAATGGACGACCTTGCCAAATTGTGAACGAAGTAGTAAGTAAGCTTATTTCGTAAGAGGGTTGGAAAGCGTATGTCACGAAGTCACCAAGGTTGCTTCGGTTAAAAGGCTGAGGCGCACGCTAAGGGCTACCAAGGCTTTTTTAAATGTATGCCAATACGGCGGCGCATGCTTCTTCTTGATGCAGATGTGGAGTATCCGAAGACCCGGAGGGTTACAGCGTGGGGATCGCGTATGCAGTACCCATGAACCATGCTCGTCCAATCTTATCACGTCGAAGTACCTTACATGCATCTTATCAATCAATCAATCTGATTACATGCCTGTCAATGGCCGTCTGCTTCCTCACAACCTAACCTAACAGAGCAGACAGCTGCGAGCTCTGCTCGGCCGAGCGATTTTTGCTCGGCAACCGAGCTATCTCCTGACGAAAAGTGAGCAGATGTCACATTTGCCTGCCATTTTCATTCCAATGTTGTCGTTCCACGGAGAAGGATTATACGAGTCATCCGCCTGCGCCCTGTTTGTTGGCAGTGAATGCATCTGCCTGCACCATGAATCGTTGAAATGGTTGAGCATCTTCAAAGCGATCGAATCTCTCAACGTCAGCCAGTGGCATATAAAATGTCACTGGTTGGGTTCAATGACACGAGCTGAAGGCCCGGTGGGATACTTTTTGGCCCCATAAAAGGTGCAACTTGTGCACTCAACGCAACTTCAGTAATCAACTTGACCATCGGCTCAGTCAAACCCCAAAGGTTCGCCCTTAATTAACTCAACTTCAAGTTCAAACTTAATTAACTGATTACCTAGGCCGCATGGATTCAGGCATTTAAAAAAAAAAAAATCTAAGAGAAGAATCATTCGTCTTTGTATAAAGCGAACTACGCTTACAGCGCCTTCTGATCTTCCACGTATGATAACTTAATCAATCGCCTTGGATAATTATTAAAACCTGCTCTTGATGTACCTGAGCTCGAGGCGAAAGCTGCGTTGGATATGTCTAATGCAGCGCTGTGGATAGCCCTGCAGCTCGGAAATGTACCAGTCTGTGGTCGTCACACACTGGGTGCGAGATTCGTCCCTACCTTACCTTACCCTACCTTGGTGTAAACCCTACCCGCCCTCGCAATGGTGAACCCAATCTTGTGACCTCACGCCAACTCAGAAGTCATTTTGTATCACTTTCCCAAGATTCATCGCTCGTAGGCCTACTACATGTTGGAAATTCTTGAAAACTCCAGTCTATATCATCATCTTCATGTAAATAGCATATGGAGGTACCTGAGCAGCTGGCGTTGAGAACGAGAGCAGCTTGAACAAATCGTAGCACATCTGTGTCATGTTAGAAACTCACAGTCACTTTAAGACAAGAAAATCTCGTGAAGAAGGTGATCGTCCCATGCATTTTGCCACTTCACCGAGAGGTTATGAATGCATCCAGGGTAACTCGGAGGAGGGCAATCCCTGTGCCCACCTTCACAGCACAGTGATACAGGACTAATCCCTCCAATTTTGCACACCAGAGGACTATCACTGGGAGCATTTCCAGGCAATAGGAAACGCAACAGCACTGCCAAGTAGTATGGAGGTCTGTCCAAAATCGGTAAGACCTGCCGACAAAAAGTAAGTGGTTCTTGACCACGGTGTGACATGTTAGATGGAGCAGGTTCCTGAAAGAAGCTGATTGAGCTGTCAGTCATGCTTGGACCTGTAAGTTGGACCGCTGATGTTGCTTCCGGCATCGAAGCTATAACTCTGGCATTACTATTGCATATGTCCGCGGATGCGCACAGGCTGGGTGCCAGGACTAATATGCCCTGGCGTTGAGACATGTGATCATACGAGGCCTTGGAGGGATCAAAAAGGTCTGTGGTCTCAAAACAACACGGTCAAGAAATCACGCTTCTCATTTGTGCATCTATTCGCAGTGAAACCGTTACTGTCAACCTATGCATGGACATGATTGCAGTCGTCTGTCTTATCGGGGCGTGAAGCCGCCCCACTCTCTTTTCGCAACTGCTCGGCTCTCCGAGCTGCTGCGGAAATCCGAGGTGTGAATATCAGGGGCATGGCTCATCGTGACCGCGCCTGTATCCTTTGAATTTGAACAGATTGCTGGGCCGAGGTAGCAACAATCGCCGCAAAAAGTCATTCATGCGCCGTCGCTCTCTCTCCCGGAAAGAAATTACTGGCATGATTCACAGGCTTCTGCACGAGCTTTCGGAGGCCCTGAACTACCAGATCCACAAGCAGCCTGTGAACATAAGAAAGCCGGCAACATGCTCGACATCATAAACTTCAGCCCAGCATGGCCAAAAGAGTGTTAATATATATACATACATACTTTACATATACGTTGATACTACCTCGTGCTACCTTGAACCTGATCATATCATGCCCAGGGCCTAGTCGAGCGGGCTGCAGGCACAAAGTGCCTGACACTCGCCTAAGTGTGCACCTTCGGTGTCTTGAAGTCAGCATCGATGTCAACATCATCCAAAATGACCTCGTTGGTTTTGTGGGCGGCGAGACGCCTCTTTCTCAGATGACGGGTCTGCCTCTCCGTTTCCCTTGTAATCCACCAGGTCCAGCAGATGGCGAGGATGCATGCGCCAGTCATGCCCATGGCCACCGCGAACGACACTGTATACTCGGGTGCGTACTTGGAGCGAAAGATCTGGGGACCAACAATAGTACCAATCCCGCCAAGGGCGTTGACCCATGCGATGGCAAAGGCCGAACCCGTTGCCCTGAACGTCGTCTGAAGACGCCATGGCCACATGGTAGCGAACCAGGCCAGCGAGACACCCGCAGCAATCAGCGTGGCAGCATACACGCCTCCGTTGTTCGGGTATGCGACCATAACGCCGTAGCACGCTAAATTAGAGACCAGGTACACCAGTGCCACAAGGGGGTACGGCACAGCCAACGAGTTGGTCAAGTAACCGCTGATAGCAATGAGGATGATAGCCAGAACTGAGGATGGGATGGTGAGCAGTTGGCTTTCGGCGATGGAACTGTCAAACATGAGTTAGGACTATGCACTACGGGCATTTGCTGCGGCATCGATTGTCACTCACGCAAGTCCCAGGCTGGCGACAATGGTGGGTAAGTAGAACGAAAGACCGGTGCTACCAATCGTCTTAGTGGCCCAGATGAACGCGAACCACCAGAGGCGCTGGTCTTTCATGGTATCCCATATCTCGCTCGCCTTGAAATTGCTTTCGGAAGAGCGAGGGGCATTTGGTGGTAGGCGAGCTTGGAGGAACCGCTTTTCCTTGTCGGACAACCATTTGGCCTGCGCGGGAACTGAATACCGGTCTCATTAGAAATCATTCAGATATGGTTGAGCTTAACGGTCTTACAATCAGGGAAGATGAAGAGAAGCAAAATGCCGAAGCCAATCGTAATCACACCCTCAACTAGGAAGAACCTACAAGTCCAGTTAGCGATGGGCCAGGGGCTGGAGGCAGCCAATGTGAGGAAAAGCAAACCAACCATTGCCAGCCAGACAGGCCATGTCGCCCATTCATACCGCTGAACCCATAGGCCAGAACAGCACTAACAATGTTGGCGAAGAATTCGAACGAGTCTATTGTTACTTCAGTGGCCTATTCTATTCACAGCCCTAGAGTATTATGGAGAGGAGGATCACGTACAGAAAATCAAGAGCCGAGGAGTCATCTCATCGGCGCGGTACCAGTAGCTCATCTGCAGAATAATACCTGGAAACATGCCAGACTCGGCCTGTTGGGTGGTCAGTATCGTTGATCATGTGGACCCACATCGGTGGCAGCTCACAAGACCAAGGAAGAAGCGGGCGGTTAGGAGGCCAGCACTAGATGTAACGGCAGCGTGGCAAGCCAACACAATGCCCCAAGTTACCTATGGAGATCAGCAAGTCGTGCTATTGCCAGGTTGTAGGCAAGATGCTCCTCGGTGCGGGGCTTACCATGATGCGCGACTGGAATCGTGAGGGGAGCATCTTTTTCACGACCATGTTGGTGGGAATCTCGCAAATCATGAACGGAATCTGTGAATTATGTTGGCCTTGACCACGATTTAGTATATCAGCTTCAAAGCACTCACGTTGTAAATCGTGCTGACCCAGTTATAGTCATCGGCTGTCATTTTGAGCTGCGTCATGATGTTCCGGGGAGTGCCCTTGTTCATGATTCTGGCATTTGCAACCTGCTATGCGTCAGTTCTGCCGCTCCTAATGAGGTGATAGGTGATTCTGACATTATTCGAATCGACATTTTTGATCATGAAGATAATAGCGCACAAGATCATCAAGCGGAAGTCGACGCGGCGCAAGAGTTTCTTCTCTTCTTGGGCAGAGAGAAGGGCACGGTCCTTCATGCGCTGCTCATGATCATCCCCAGAGATGTCATCCACAGCCTCACTAGTGAGGAGGGCGTTCCTTGGCTTGACGCCCGGTTCAGCTCTAGTGGTAGCCTCATGGACTGCAGCTTCATTGTCGGTAGCATGGGCCGCCATGGTAAAAATTCGAGATGATATGGAAAACGATGTTTGACAGCGTAAGGCATGTCAGCAAACTAGCTGTCGAAGAAAAACGCACCTCCTTTATAGCTAGCCTGCCGCCCGTTGGCAGTATCCAATCGAGTTTCTGCTAGTCCTAGGTGTCCGGTCCTCTAGAGCATCGCCTCCACAGCTGCTTAAAGGCACAGCAGCCAACGCCCTTCAGCCTGCTATAAAATGCCTCACCTCCAGGGTCGTGCAGTTTCTTGCTTGTAAGTTAACGGGAAACCCTCGTCCAGTTCTGTCTAGGTAAACGGCCTATCACGTCAGTACCCAAGGTCCTAGAAGCCGTCGAGTATCCTGCCCCACACTATTACCCTGATCATTCACTTCCGACTGTACAAGCGAGGTACAAGGTCCGTCGTGAGCAGAACAGGGCAGCCGACTGTACCACGAAATAGAAGTCTCAGCAATGCATGCCTCAAACACCATTCCTCCCTATTCTACAAGATATAAGGTAATTAGGCCAGTCATCGTCCCGGATGGCTGGGTCAAGTCCTAATATCTTGAGCTTCATTGTCTTCATACCTAGGTAGGTCATACTAGACAGACAGAGCTCATTCAGCCTGGATAGTACTCTGTACATGAACAGCCCGTCCGATCCCAGCGAATTGCCTCTGGCTGCCCATATGATCCACCAGTGTCACTCATTGTCCAGGGTTGATCGACTTGAGTGGACCTAAGTCCCACAAGCCGTTTTGACCTAGTGCTTAGCTTGACTTGCAGGGATCAGCATGGGGCTTAAGTTTAGACTCACATCCCCACAACCCCCTGGCAGGAGCAGGTACCACAGGATCAGGTACTACTACGTATGTAAGTGCCCTTTCTAAGAACAGGGATAGGACGCCAACTCCTTGAGCCGGCAGGTGGACTAGGAATGAGTCTTACTGAGTTTTACCCCCCTGGCTTAGTAGTACGTACATAATTAACCTTGATGGTCCTCAAGGCCCCTCCAACCTGACGTTCTTTGGTATCATCACGCCAGCGCCGGTCTGGGTTGGGGTCGATGTACACTGAAAAGCTTCTTTACCGTTCGGAAAACCAGAGCATGCGTTGGCGGCCGAACAATGCAGCGGACTGACTGTCGGACTGGAAGTTCAACACGACTACGAGTCAGGGCAGTCGCAGGGGTTACCAACGGTCACTTGATCAACTTCCCAATGCCCTCTCTTCTTCCCTTGCACACAATCTCAATAGTAACAATTGACCTTTCGCCACTCCACGAATCAACCGGTTCGAGCCATTGAGGGTACCTTGTGATACGTATATCAATGTTGGCAGCGACTTGGTTCTGTGCCTGCTTCTATCAACGACATGACTCCCCATACGTGTGAGTCTGCGACGTCAGTGTGAATCGGAACATGACGAGCCTGAGAAGCGTGGCCGCTATCGGGGGAAGCAAGCCTCACGGCTTGTCAGAGACTCACGAGAGATGAATTCTTTAGAGTATCTACTCGCCAGCAGAGACAGAGCTTATTGGCATTATGCCGTCCAGTGTAATCAGCAGGAAACTGAAAACTGTCGATGCATTCGATGACAGCCTCGGGTATCGACTTCGGCTTGGCCACTGAAAATGAGAACGACTTTGTCCCTTCCGCAACCGACCAAAGGAGAGTCTGGCTAGGCGCAAAAGATTCAAATTATCACAAACAAAGCAATTGATTCATGAGATTCCTAAATATAGAGAAGTGACGCGTTTTCCAAAAGCCTAGGGTTGACTTAGGCTTTTGACAGGAGTACTGATGCGATAGCCCATGACTCCAGGAAATACTGTGCCAAGGTGTTGAGAACACCTGCTTCAGAGATTGGTGAATGATTACGAGGTCACTCTGGGATAATGGAAATATTGAATGTACTGAGAAGCCGGTTGTATTCAAAGAAGGATGGATTAGCACCAAAATAGGATCACACTTGTGGGTGTGAGCACGGCTACGGCTAGCGCATTCTCGGGCTTAGGCTTCGGCTTCGGGCTCGGGGTCCACTTCTCGTCGGCCTATGTGGGGCCGGGTGAAGATAGCCGGGCCGCGTCGAGCGGGGCGTTTGGTCTCACCTTAGACAACCTACGAGTATGCGCCACTTTGATTTGAGCACGGTAAGAAACTGCAGAAACCATTTTCCTATTGCAAGTCAGCTGCACAGTGAGCGAGTGTGGAGTGACGGCAATCCTTCGGTGAGAATTACCTATCAAGTAACACATGGATCGGCTCTGCCGCCACCCAAGACCCTAAAAAACCTAAGCCGGGGCTTAGAATAGTATATTGCATGTCCTTAATCATTAGAGCCACTTATCTAAGCTACACAATATCCAGTCCGGCATCTGGCTAAGGTCTTAATGGAGACAGGCCACTCTTCTGCATTCGATGGTGGTCTGAGTCTTATATGTAGGTCCATCTTATGGTCCCTCCGCCTACCTATGTGCATGAATTGCGTGTGTTGGAATAACTACAGCCAGTCCTCCAAGAGACATTAAGACGTTTGCAAGAAATAGATCTCAACAGACACGCCGAATTGCAGCAAAGAGATCATGGTCTCGAACGAACCGACGCCAAAACCTGACATGGAGCTGCTGCCCAGGGGAGTCGTTGTCATTGCGGGAGGTGGACCAATCGGTCTGCTACTTGCGCGAGTTCTCTCCTTCTATGGTGTGAAGTCGAAACTGTTCGAACGCAATAAGACCACCACCAAGTGGCCCAAAATGGACCTGACCAACGCTCGATCAATGGAGATATTTCACAAGCTGGGCCTCGCCGATGACCTCCGAAAGCAAGGCGTACCGCCGGGTATCGATCAGAATGTCATCATATCCACTGGGCTCTCTGCTGAAAAGCCGCTCACGCAGTGGGACCTCCCAGGAGTAGACAAATTCAGATCTCAAATCCAGAACACAAATAACGGCACACAGCCCCAAGAGCCCTGGCAGAGAGTGTCTCAAGCCATCTTTGAAAGATGGCTGAAGAACATCTGCGACGACGATCCTCTTATTGACCTCAACTATGGCTTCAAGGTTGAACACGTTGAAGAGCAAGAGGACTTCGCACACATGACAATCACAGACATGAATACCGGAGAGAGAACCGTTCTAAGATCCGACCATGTCGTGGGATGCGACGGCGCCTCTAGTCGAACGCGTACGTCATTGTCGATTCCTCTCGACGGAGGCCCAATGTGAGTTTTGACCAGTAAGGTATGGCAAATATTGATCAAACTCTAATAACCTTTTCCAGACCCTCTTGTGCCTTACTAGTTCATTTCAAGTCTCATGATCTAACAAAACTACACAAACAAGGGAGGTTCTGGCATATCTTCCTTCTCGGCCAGTCAGGCAATTTTGAAGGGGCCATCATCTCGCAAGACGAGAAAGATACCTGGACGACCCATCTGTTCCTGCCCCTTGATGCTGAGCCCGAAAAGATCGAATCTCGCGATGCGGTCTACCGTGTCCTTGGAGGGCTTTACGAGCCGTACAAATTCCAGATCGACGAGATTCTGGTGCGCTCCATCTGGAGGCCAAATGTCGCCGTGACACGCCAATGGAGAAGCAGCGAAGGGCATGTGTTCCTTGCCGGCGACTCGGCACACCAGAATATTCCCACCGGGGGGTATGGGATGAACATGGGTATTGGGGATGCCTTCGACCTCGGATGGAAGCTCGCCTCAGTCATCAATGGTGAGGGCGGGCCAGAGCTCCTCAGGTCGTATGAGCTAGAGCGCAAGCCAGTAGCCCTCAAAAATGTGGAGCGGTCCCATGATCACTTCAAAGTTCACAATGAGTTGCAGACGCTGCTCGGCGGCGGTGACCCTCGTCGCGTCGATACCGACACAAAAGAAGCACATCTGCTCAGACAGCGTGTTGACGAATTCTATCAAAGGCACGATGGAGAAAACAGGGGCCTTGGAATTGAGATGGGATACCGGTACAACTCACACATTATTGTACATCAAGAAGACGACGGCAGCGAGCCTCCCTCGGATCCGCGTTGTTACACGCCAACAACATGGCCCGGTGGTCGACCTCCCCACATTTTTCTTTCCGATGGCACCGCTATATTTGACAGGTTTGGCAAACACTGGTCACTTCTTTGCTTCACGGATACTGATGTGGGACAATGTCATCTTATCCAAGCCGCGAACGATTTGGGCTTGAGTCTGTCGCTGATCAATCTTCCAGGAGAGGCGCAAGCTAGAACCTTGTATGAGCGAAACCTGGTTCTAATTCGCCCAGACCAGCATGTCGCCTGGAGAGCTGAGACAGTGAACTCACCGGCGATCGCAGATACTGTTCTACGGACTGTCTCTGGGCACATGACTACGGAGGTGAAGAATCCGGTCATCGGGGATGCAAAGCCTGGAATAGAAGTGCCTGCTGAATCGGGGGTGAAGGCATAGCGCATTCCCAACAAAGTTAGCGCAGAGGCGACGCCATAAATGAATGCTCAGGAAAACCTCACTTTTTGATAGTAAAGTTGCAATTTGCATTAATCCATCCATCTTTGACCTTGTAGTCTTTTGTCTCGGCCTCCTTGCCTTATCCTCATAACCTCAAATATTTCTTAGTATGCGTCCTTAATCTAGAACATGCCCTCATATCACTGGTTCCTTCTGGGTTCCAGAGTTAGCATGAGACATTGACTAATTTCGTGCTTCATGAAATCACAATCTCAGTATTGGGGAAATTAATATTGCCCGCCATGTAGATTATTTTCTTGAACTATAAATTCCGTCTAGCTTTGACCATATGTTTCTCAATGATAACTTCTCAAATGATATGTCTTCATTTCTTTCCCATTCAATCTCACTCAGCTTCAATCAGGGCACAAACATCCAGGAAATTCGAAGTTTATACATCCCTGAATTAAACTGATTTGCCTATCTCAAGTCATACTACAAGTAGCTACATGTCGTCGGAGTGTTCATAGTTGCTGTCTGGTATCCATGTACTGAAGGCCATGCCCTCTGGGACCTGCTTCCATTGCATGGTGACCGGGTCCAGCAACTGCTTACACTTCTCAGCAGCGTGTCTTATGATAGTGGCCTTCCCCGCCGACCGAGGCTTGATTCGGGCGGGATATTCAGATGGCTGCACAGTAATGCCACCGACGAGGTCCTCGGTGTCGTATTTCACCGTATTACCTCGAATATCTAGGGCAGGCGAGAAGTCGAATGCCCATAAGAGCCTCGACATGCCCAGAAATAGGGATCTTTCAGCGATATGAATGCCCTGGCAAAGGCGTCGTCCCGCGCCGAAGACAAAATTGTCACGCTTCTTCGTGTCTCCCATGGCGGATTGGTAGAGTGTCGTGTGATCGTCCTTGAAGCGCTCGGGTTCAAATACGCGGGGATTTGGTGAGCGCTCTTCATCCATATGAATGGCCCTGTGTTGCGCCAAGGCATTAGACTTGCCACTTCGACAAGGGGGCTGGTACGTGACTTCTACAAGGATTGACTCACCACACATTGTTAATCACAGTCGCGCCTTTCGGGATGTTGTAACCCATGTAAACGTCATCCCTAAATGCTGCATGAGGTACACCAAGGAAAACAGTCGGCATCCACCGCAGGCTCTCCTTGATGCAGCAGCGGATATAAGGCAGATTCTGGTAGTCATCGACGGTGGGTAGACGGTCATGACCAACCACGCGATCAATCTCCTCCTGGGCCTTTCTCTGTACTTCTGGCCAGACGATAATGGCCTGAATGAAACCATAGAGAGTTCCTGCCGTTGTGTCTGAGCCTGCTTCGAGCAGCGAGCCGCTGATATAAGCAGCAGCATCGTCGCTAAAGCCCTCTTGCGTCTGAGCGCGATATATATCGTTGCAGAAGCAGGGCTGTTGAGTCACTTGTCAAAAAGGGGTCCCAGCACGAATCCCTTGGTCCCGAGTCATAGACTAGGTAGGGCACTCACCAGTCCTGTTCCGTCGTCGAGCGCTGTCTTCGACATCATCCAATGTCGGAGATAGTTCTGGCTCTCTATCTTGTACAGTTGCTTGGCGTATCTAACGTTCGGTGCAATAGAACTAGGCAAGCTTTGAATGAAAGGATAGATGTCTGCCAACTGGGCGCTAGAGCTTCCGGACAACTTGCCCCAGTTCTCGAAACTCTACGTCATCAATAGTCAGTTTTGCGCAGAATTACTTTTTGTTAACATCAGCTGTGATGAGAAGACTTGATTACCTCGAACAACTGCAGAAGCTTTGGGTCATGATTATCAGTACAGCGATAACCGTATATCATTTGTGTAGAAAGAGAGTAGGTAAATCTTCTGATGTGCTGGAGAAAATCGGAAGGAGTTTCCAAGAGGTCATTCAAAAGAATCTTGTTTTCGAGGTCCTGGTAAGGGACGTAAGTGACAGCAGCCTTGATGTTCAAGATGTTGTGCACCATGCGATGGATCATGCGCCAGTTGTCTCCGTATCTCTGAAAATTGTCAGCTTGCTGGTTCCCTTCTGTACCTTTGTCATTTGTCCCATCTGTCGTCGACTTACCATCACAACAAGGCGGAGATCGCCGCTGGCTACTTTCTGGCCGATAAACATATCTGGCCGATCAGAGTAATTGCCGCTCCTCTTGTCCAACACTTCTTTGACAGTTGTATCTGATGATAGGACGATCATGACTTTTGTGCCGAGTATCAATGAGTAAATTGGCCTACCGCTCCATCCAGTCAACATTTATACTTTCACTTCCCTCGGCTCTTTTTCTGCTGTGTTCCTTGAATTATTCTTCTGAAAGGTAAATATGAAGTCTTACCCATATTCTTTGGCCCATTTCTGCAGCTGGAGATGTGGCCTCAACTTCGGCATCTATGTCCATGCTATTAGTAAAACCGCTGTCTCAGTGTGGTTGACTGGTTCACGAACGAGATGCAAATTGCCTAGCACTGGCAATGTTGGTGGACCGGGCGGATAGCCGGGTGGCCTATATCCCACTTTGCTTACTTTCCAAAGAAGGAACAAAACAGTAGCGGCCAGGAAAAGAATTGTGTTGAGAAGACGGAACATTGCGATTGCAAAGCTAAGTTATCAGGATTCTTCTCGTTTCAAGGCGAAGGTAAATGGACCATCAAGTTTCTGGGTCCGGTTAAACAGAACAATTAAGAGAATTTCATTCATTACTTTTTAATCACCTCTTGAAACTATAGATCACTATCTTATATTATATAGAAGATCTTCAGCAGACTCCCTGGTCACACAAATGTCTTCGTTTCACCTGTAAGAGTCACCAAGCACTTGGGCGTCGTGAGGATTGGATCGCGGGGTACATTAGCTTGTGTCTAGCTAGGGGCCTAGCATGGTGTAACGGAGGGGGACAGAATCTAGGGCGAACAAGCCTGACACTGATAATTCGGCTGAGACAGTGATGGGCTGTGTGGTTTCCGTGGAATTGCAGTAACAGTCACTCAAGCCGCCTACCCCGAATCCCGCGAAGCCGAGGCCGATGCCACCCTGTCTTCTTCCAGTTCGGCCTCGGGCTCGGTCTTCCAAGGCGCCTATTTGCTGTCAAACTTCTCAGCGCAACATTTCTATTCATAATTGTCACACCGGTATCCAATAAAGGTGCCATGGTCTATTGGACAATGTACAGCGAGCGGCTCTTAGCCCGATTGCCTTGCATATTACTGCGTATATGAAGTCCCTTATTTCAATCCTGAAGTTGATACAGTTTATCATCTAATAGCAAGAAATCTAAATAATCAGCTGAGAGACAACAAGTATATTAAGGAGAAGGTCGAGGTCGGGTTGTATCGGTACGCTGAGGGAAGCGCTGCTTCAAACTTCTGGGTCTTATTTTGTTTTGAAAATTCACAAACGGTCTAAACAGCCTTATAGCTTATGTTCATGGACCCCAGTTTGTCCTAGACTCCTGTATCTGCGCCAAAGACCTTCAATTTATCATCTAATGGCTTCTGCTCCCCCAGCGCCGGACTAGGGCCGATCCGCTCGCCAAACACAAGCTGAGCCGTCAGCCGCCAGTTAGGTGGCAGAGACCAGGCTGCGGCTACCAATCCATCAATCAGGGGTTTGTAATGCTGTTGGTAGGCGCCGAGCCCTTCGGCTGACAGCGCCGTCCAAATGGTCTGCTGCAACATGGCATTCGACTGCGCCGCCCAGACGGGAACTGGTCTGAATAAGTTGGAAACTTTCTGGCGAAACTTTGGACTATGTCGCCGTCCACAAAGAACATAACCTTCGTTGAAGTGCGTCTGCATGTCTAGATCACGCTGGTGAATTTGAATGTGGAGGATGGACTGATTGAGTGACATACAGTTCCGGCAGCGGCCTTGAATCCGGCTGTCTTTTGGCTCGTAGATACCCATTGATCCGTAGTGACTTGGGCCTTGAGCACGTTAGTCACAATATCCAACAGCCTGTCATGCTCGGAGCCGAAGAGCACGACCGCGCGGTTGGATTGCGAATTGAATGAACTAGCAACCGACTGCATAGCATGACCGACCATGGCCTTCACTTTGCCTTGATTGATGGTCAGGTGTTTTCCCAGGGCGTACCAGGATCGGTGGGTCGCGATGGTGTCAAGGAAAGGGGTCGTCATGTTTTGAGCCGGGATTGTGCTGTGGCGGTTTCCAAGACCAAGGTCAAATAGTGCAAAAGTAACGGCAGGCAGAACGATGAACCAAGCAGCAAGCAGAGGTGTAAGCCGAGGAATGGAGTGATCTGTCCCAGGAACTTTTAGTGAAGCTGCTATTTGACTGGGTGCAATTGTTGAATAAATATCAGATACTAAGTCTTCGGAAAGCACTACTCGATATCATAGGTAATAATACGAAGTACGAAAGTCAGCATCTGTGAACTCTGTTTCGGTTTCGTAATACTACCCAATCAGATATCTTTTGCTTTCAAAACTTCAGATCCAGTCTGCGGAGTTTCTGCCGAGAGGAAAGGGGGAAAGAACATTTGATAGCATTGTTACGGATAATGAAACTTCGACTAGGAAGTGACATGAATAGAACAACGCTATTACTTGTTATCGCTACTGAACCAGGTTGCTTGGGATGCGCCGAGGTTTGATAAATTGATTGATAAGCGCAAACTCCAGTTTCCAAGTTGTCCTGAACTTGAGCATCTACCTGCCAGCTTCCACCAATTGTCTACCAACTATGGACTCTGGCGAACAATAACACTTTCCCATTGTGTTTAGTGGTATAATCCTGGCGTCATATTGTACAATCTCTCATCTGATCAGCCAAAGAACCTACTATGGCGGCATTGAGTCAGCAGAGGAGGGAATCGTGGGATAAAACGCCTCGTTTTCTCGGTCCCGGCTAGAAGATAGTCCTCACATACCAGTCGACACCTACTCACACCTTCGTTTTCTGTTCTGTCTTACACAATGTTCGAACTAGAAACCATCATCAAGAGGATGGCCAACGCCGATCCCTTTTTCGACTTCGGTGGTCAAACATAGCCGCTCGTGGGAGCCACAGTAGCCAGTGCCGCCTCACAAGCAGACCTTGGCGGCAGCAGACGAGACTTTGAGGCTACCCTCCCCAGAAGCGACACGCTCGGAACATATGGCTCCTCCAAGTAAGCTTCATAGGGCTGGCATTCTAGTGACACCCGCGTCCGTGTCGCTTCTCAATACCTTCAACTCCGGCCTGCTTACCGTGGCTCTGCCTGCGGTAGCCAGGGAGCTCGACATTGCTCCGAGCGTGCAACTGTGGCCAGCATCTGTCTATGCTCTAGGGTTATCGTGCGGTCTCCCTCCCCTTGGCACCATCGCCGACGTTGTTGGTAACCGTCCCGTCTTTGTGACGGGCCTGTTATTATATACGGTCTTCGCCTTGGCAGTGTCGCTCAGTCGCACTGGGGGAGAGCTCATCGCCTTCCGCACGGGTGCAAGGTGTTGCAATGTCCTTTTGCATGCCGCCCGCTGTGAGCATCATAACTTCAAGCTTACCCGCGGGTCGCACCCGCGATGTTGCTTTTGCGGTCTTTGGTGGTGGTAATCCAGTTGGCTTCGCCATGGGGCCCCGTCCTGGGCGGTATCTTTGTCCAGGCCGCGAGTTGGCGCGCCGGCTACTGGATGCCCACCAGCGTCAATGCGGCATTCATGATCCTCGCCTTCTTCTGTCTGCCTAGGCGTCTCCCGGGATCGGATCGAGTCCCACTGAAGAGCATGGTCCACCGTCTTGCCCATGAGCTAAACTGGGTCGGCGTCGGTTTTGCTAGTGCCTGTTTGGCTCTCATGTCTTACCTCTTCTCCGAGCTGACAAACGGCGTCGCCAGCTTTATTCGCCGGCCTCACTCCATTGCCCTGTCAATTGTTGCCGGATTGCTTGTTCCATTTTACGTCTTCTGTGAGAGTCGTCAGGAGAGACTTGGCCGCCCAGCCGTTCTTCCAAATAGCATTTGGCACCGACTCGAGTTTGCAACCGTCTGTCTCTCCCTCTTCCTCACCTGGTCCTGGTTCAACGCCTTTTCGTACTGGACTAATCTTTATTATCAGGAGTCCCATCAGCTAGATGCCTTGCAGACGGCTGTACGGTTTCTGCCAGTGGTTGTCTCTGGTCTAGGTACCAACCTCGTCGCAGCCTAATTCATGGACAGAGTCGACACGGGTATGCTGAGCCTCATCGGGGGAATCATGAGCATCGCGGCACCTCTTATCTTTGCCTTACAGGATGTGTTGTGGATGTACTGGAAGTCTGCCTTCCCGGCCATGATCACCAGCGTCATCAGCACCGACCTCCTCTTCAACATCAGCAACCTAATCATTACGAATAACTTCCCGGGCAAGAGCCAAGCTCTCGCAGGTGGCGTCTTTAACACTGTTGCGCAGTCAGGCAACAGCATCGGCCTGGCTGTCACTGCTATGATTGCGGCTTCGGTACAGGAAGCTGCTGTAAGCGAAAAAATGGCTACGAGCGGCTCCGTGACATTCAATTCTTCTCTGCTGCAGGGCTACCGGAGCAGATTTTGGACATGCTTCGCTGCTGCTGTTGTGGTCACACTGATCAGTTCGACTGGCTTGCGAAAAGCTGGGAAGGTGGGAGAAATGAAAGAGGTGTAGTCTTCAACTCCGCCAGGTGTTAGGGGTAGGACTCAGATTAGGGTCCAGCTCATACATTGGGTGTGGCGTGAGAGCCTAATTCGATATCGAAAATCCTCAAGGAATTCAAATTCCGCCTCGGATTCGGGTTGTTGGGATAGAAGGGTGCGATCCGTGCACCCATGCTATCTCGCGAGGGACTTGAATTCCGCGCCTCAAAGTCTTACCAGTGCGTGAGGGGTGTCTATGTATTTCGCTATTCGCGGAGTTCCTTAAATGCCCTGGTGGACTCGTCGGTATTTTCCAGATATGGAACTTGTGTACATTGCAAAAGCCGCAGGGAGGACTTTTCTTCTACTGGAACTTACAGAACTTTTCTCTTGCATCCAATTCTTTGCGACGAGCCCTTTCGTCTTCATCGATCATCTGCTAGTTGCAAGTCTGTCGTCATTTTTCACACTAAGCCATCACGTCACCGCAATTGAGGAAGCCCGAAGTCATGTCTCATCTACAATTCTTTGCGTACGAGGGACAGGGGGTTGAAAAGCAGAAAAGGTACTCCTACAGCCAGGCAGTACGAGTCGGCGATCGCATTGAATGCTCGGGACAAGGTGAGCTTTCCCATCACATCCTTCCCCCAAAGGCTCATCCGTTGCCTATTCCATCGAAGTTACGCCTAACTCGGTTTACTGAAGGTGGTTGGGATCCGATCACTGGAGAGTTCGAAAAGGAGATCAACGCCCAAATCGATCTGGCTTTTGAGAATGTGGATCGATGTCTTAAGGACGCTGGTGGCAAAGGATGGACCCAAGTCTACCGTGTCAACTCATATCACGTCCCAATCAACAATGAAGCTCTGGAAGCGATGGTCCGTAACTTTAGGAAGTGGATGCCGGATCATCAACCTCTGTGGACCTGTGTTGGCGTTCCACGTTTGGGAGAAGATGACATGCGCGTGGAAATCGAAGTTGTGGCTCATGCTGTCTGAGAGATATCGTCGCAAATAAGAATTGAAACTTCAAGATATTTCTTCTCGTGCCTTCTTGTGGCTGACACGATGGGCTTTTCAATGCGGACATTGAAAGTGCATTTCCGCAACTCGTAAACGAAACCACGGGAGCGCATGAGACTCCCCTCGCCCATATAGGCATGCAATCTTTTCAAAATTGATCCCCGCCGAAGTAAAAGTACTTCCTATGGCACCTTAACTCGAAGAATCACGTCTTCACTTCATCTCTCCGGCGAGTTCAAACACTGTCAAGCGTTAAGATTAGGCCAGACTCTGGAATATCATTGATAACAGATATCTGATGAAGGAGTCTAAAAGACCCGGCAATTTCGACTCTTCGAATAAGCATCAAGAACAGGCCAAACTCAGGGTAGACAGGCTTCCACGTCCTGCAGTACACTGTAAGGCAAGACTCAGCTTGATAGGAGATCAGAGCCATGCAATCTAGCCATGGTGCAGCTGATAAGAAGTCATCGCTATTATGAATTTAGAGTTTGACAGATTGTCACAAAGTCCAAGCTCATAGGCCAGTGAGATAAGAGATGGCCTTGCCCCCTTAGACGGAATGCGAATTCCTATCTCTCGACGAGACCAACAGAATGATTGATAGACCATTTACGGAAAGGCCTTCACCAAATTCTATAGACGCCTCCAAGTGACCCTGGCCAGAAGGCTGGGTATATCAGTCTAGTTTATACGTATCGATGGCTTGACTTATTAAATCATGAGGCATGCGCTCACTACAATGACAAAGTTCGAGTGCAAGGCAGCCCATCAATCTTCGAATTTCCTCATCTATTGCCCAAAATGTTATCAGCCCGCAAAATCCTCGTGTACAGCATTATCTTCTCGTCTGGTGAGTTCGTCTTGGCAACACAATCGTGCCATCTCTAAGAAGCTGCATTAGCAACTATCATTGGGTATGATTCCGGATACTTGAACGGCGTGCTTGGATCCGAGGACTTCACCCGAATCTACGGCGTCAAACATAGCGTCACCGGAGACGTATACTTGACTCCATATACTCGGAGCATATTCTCTGCGTTATTCGTCGTTGGAGCTCTTGTAGGATGTCAGCTAGTAGCACCTCTTACCAATCTACGTAAGTCTTTAGGCGTTTTGAACCTAGAGTGTTGCCAAACTTGCTGATCTTCCGCAGTTGGCCGGCGCGGCAACTTGTTCACAGCCTCAATCAGCTATGCTGCAGGCGTAGCGCTCCAGACGGCTGGACTTGCCCCACCCATATTCATCGTGGGCCGTATTTTACTTGGTATTGCTCTCGGCCTCATCTCTATCACAGTAAGAACTCAGCTTCACACCTCTTGTTAGTTTGAACGACAGCTGATTATTATGATGCAGGTTCCTGCCTATCTCATGGAATGCTCTACGCCAACGAATCGAGGACAATTGATGGCATTCTACACCCAATTCCTCACCACAGGCAACGTCATAGCCTGTGGCATCAGCCTGGCAACTTCCAAGTATAACGATTCCCGGAGTTGGCGTAAGTAAATTGCGAAAATAAGATGACCACATATAGGCAGAGGTTGACCCGGAAGTAGGCATTACGATCGCATTCCAGCTGGTGTTGGCACTGATCGTTGTCATCGGTGTCTTTTTCTGTCCCGAGTCGCCACTCCTCCTTGCCAAGAAGAACCAGAAATCCGAAGCGCGCCGTGCTCTTGCCATTCTCCGCAATGCAGACGTTAACTCCTTAGAAGTTGACGACGCCATGGTCGAAATCGAAAATTACATTACAGATCAGAATACGCACGGAAGCGCAAGATTCATCGAGTGTTTCCGAGGAACCGATCTCAGAAGAACTCTCATTGGCGTGGCGATGTCATTCTTCACTATATCCACAGGCATCACCTTCTGGTTCGGCTACGGAACAACCTTCTTTGCCGCGGCGGGTGTCGACGACTCGTACCTGATCTCTCTGGTTCTCGCCATCACCAATTGCGTCTTCACAGCACCTTCCATGTATCTCATTGAGCGTCTGGGAAGGAGAAGATCTTTGATCGCGGGCGGGATCCTTATGGGACTCGCCCAATTACTCACCGGCGTCATCCATAGCGCTGCTCCGGACAGCAAAGCTGACAAGATGATGCTGATCTTTGGGGCAGTGTTCTTTATCGCTTCATACGCACCAACTTGGGGTGTCGGGGGTAAGTTGTCTGCGTTAGAACTCTGCAGAAGAGAACTCCACTGACGAATTAAGTAGGCTGGCTGTTGATGGCAGAGCCTCTGTCCGATCGTGCGAGAAATTACCAATCTTCCATCGTGTTGACGGCATACTGGATCATCACGTGGCTGGTTGGATTTGTTACGCCTTACATGATTGATGAGACTGCCGGAGACCTCGGAGTCAAGGTGTCCTACATCTGGTTTGGTATGACTGTTCTGTCTCTCGTCTGGGCCTACACCTGTGTCCCAGAACTCACGGGGCTTTCCAGGATGGAGGTGAGTTGCACTGCTCGGAAAATCAAACTCATAGTCTCATGCGCATGGCTGATTCCAACAGATTGATAAATTGTTCGAAGAGAATGTGCCTGCATGGTGTTCACGGACGTGGCAGAAGAACCTTCGAATCATTCACGCAGTCTCTGAGTCTGGTCCAGACAAGGCCGTCGTTATTGAAGAAAGGATGCAGTCTAAGGAGGAACAGTCAACTTAGTTCGACATTACAATACATCTTCCGGGATTACAGTTGGAAGACACTAAGGTACTTAAGGCTCCGAGGGTTGGAATTGTTGGCATGGGAAAGGGGCCAGTGTATTGGCGTAGTGAATCTGTGGAGAGAAATCAAGCAAGATCGTTTTCTCAGATGTGTCCAATGACGTTTCTTGTATTCGATTCAACGTGAAGTCGACAACACTCAATGTTCTACCCACGTGCCTGAATAGCACCGGCAAGCACAACAACATAGGTAGGCTACACACCAATATCACGACTTAAATTCTTGATTCCCCGTTACTTTCAATCATTCACGTCAGAACCGTCAGTTTCTCAATATCGTCATGGTCGGAATATACATGGCAATGGTATAGGCGATCCCGGCATACCAATTGAAGCCTTCGGGTCTCGGTATCACACTCATTGTGAAGAATGGCGTGGTAGGCGACTTTCAGCAAGGCCTACTCGGAGTGTCAGGCTCACCTCATTATTGACGAGTAATCGACTCATAGATTTCCTCACAAGGCAGAAACTTTGACCACAGCTTGCAATTACTGACGAGGGTCTCGATTCGTCAACGCGAGTTTCGTGGCAGACATTTTCGAATTCAAGTTAACACTTGTCCTAACCCACCCTAACAACCACTTTTCCCGTGTTTAAATGATTCCCAAAAGCTGCCATTCGGGATGGTATCTCCTCAAGACAGACTTCCGTAACTATAGGTTTCACTTTACCATCCCTGATATACTCCATGACCTTATAACTCTCATCCCATCCACCCATCAACAGACCTTGAAGCTTGATGGAGCGCTCAACCATCAAGGCCAAGGGGATTGTCAAGTTGCCCCGGGATTTCGTCACGCTGAAAGATGTCAGCAATGTCGGTCACAAATAGCCCGGAAGTAAACTCACCCTACGCATATCACCGAGCCGCCGTCGCAAACGTAGTCAATCAGCCCTTCAAAAGCACTTTCGTCACCTGATGTGACAAGAACAGAGTCTGCGCCGCGGCGAGCCTCTCCTACAGGGCGCAATCGAGCACAGGCGTCTGCTATCCTCTCCATAACCTCAATCCTCTCCGACGCATTGAAAGGCGCAGTGATGAATTCGTCAAAGACGTCAGCAGCCCTTGAGCCCAATGCTTCAACCTTCCACGGCAAATCGATGCCAATAACCTTTGCCCCAAACACGTTGCGAGCCATTATGCCGGCCAGATGTCCTATCCCGCCGCACACCCCGCTCACAACGATCACGTCCCCGGGGGCAGGAGTCGCCGCTTTCAAGGCTTTGAGTGCCGCGGCACCAGAGCACAGCGCCGTAGTATACAGACCAAAACTCACACCCGCCGTTTCATCAAAGATGAAATCTGGCAGAGGCATAAGTGAGGTATAAGGTGCGGTCATGTACTGCTGAAATGTGCCATTGTGGTGGCGAGGAAATGTCGTCTGCTTATGACAGGATTCTGGAACGCCGCGAATACAGTAATGGCAACTTCGGCAGTAAGATGCTAGATATCTTGCCGCAACTGGTTTTCCGAGGAGCGATTTATCGTGGCTCATAACGATATGCCCGATGCCTTCGTGGCCTGCGATGTGGTTTGGTCCACGGAGGCCGTCCTCAGGGCCGAGAGAGAAGACAACATCCTGTAAGTAAAGGTTGTGAATAGAAGTTGTTCAGAGCTATTATTAAAATGGTTGAGGGGGGCACTTACGCTACCGCAAATTCCTGTGTAAGCTATCTTCATAACAACTTCACCAGGCCTTGGATGTTGCACGGGAATTAGCTGAACCTCTTGGTTGAGCTTTGGGCCCAATTTTGGTGTCACAATTGCTGTCTGGAAGGCTGGTAAAGTGAAGTCACCTAAGGTGTGAGGAGCCGATGACGATGAAGAAACATCTAGCAGCTCGACCTGTAAAGGTGGCAGGCTACTGTCGGACGATACCTCGTCCGTCAATCTGAGTTTTTCTCCGTGAGAATTGATCACCATTTTTGCAAGCAATCACTAAGAATGAAACCTGGTCCAATACGTGACAATAATGAAGATAGCAGGTTTACCAAGAATATTCAAGTTTTGATTTATGATAAGAGGTCGAACCAGATCGTAGTTCCCAAAGATAGGAAAAGATAGGTTGATCCCCTCATTTGATGTTCACCCACCTGGACCACGCTTTGGTCCAATTTGCCAGAGACACGATGTAGCGGAATTTATATTCCTCAGAGCGACCCATGGCTGACACAACGAGCATTGCAGCTGCACACCACTGATAAGAATGAGTACGATAGCGTCCGATAGGCCTCTAGTC